TTAGAATACAGGAATGGTGCAGTGTGAGGAGTCCTAAGCAAGAGGAGATATACCCTGCCAACCCAGGAACGAACCAAGCTGAGAGAAACCAACTGGAAATGCAATCCCGGTGCTATAACCGAAACAGATAAAATCTCAGCACTGAAGCTGGAACCCGCTCCTCTGGAAGCCGCAATTTGAAATTCCTGCCACCACTGCTGCGTCTGAATCAGCACAGTAGGGACAGAGAGGCAAAACCTCTGAGAGTGGGAATTGGCAAACGGAGTTGAGAGCGGGCCTGGCGGGGAGCCTGCATCAACCTGTGGTGAGTGAGAGGAACAGGGACCCTTCCATAGACTAGGAGGCTCCAACAGAGGACATTCTGGGATTGGGCAGACTAGCTGGAACAGGATGCTGCAGTGACTTTAGTTGCATATTCCTCTCTCAAGTGGGATTGGTGGGGAGTGCTTGGCCTGGGTGACGCCATGGACTAAGACCCAGTGAGCTAGACCAAACCAGGTCCCAGGCCTGGCGGTGCACCCTAGCAGTGAAGCCTTCAGTAGGTTGACTGGCCTGGAAGCGTGGGCACAGCAGAGGCTGCCCAGGTCTGCATCTCCCTAGTACACTGCAGTGGGCAGGAAAACCTAGCCAGCGCAATTCAAACAAACTATAACCAACAAAGAAATAAACTGGGCCTCCTATATATGCTTTTATGGAAGGAACAAAAATTATGGGAAGAGGGAGCAACAAGAAAGGGTCCTCAGTCCCCAATCCTGAGAACACTGATCCAGGAAAGGTAAATGCAAAAGAGAATGAGGACAGAAAACATGCAATATCAGACACAGCACCTTGGGGGGGGGGGTTAAAAAAAAAAGACACAGCACCAATAGACATAAAGCAATATCTGGAGCCTCATACACAAGTTCAAAAGTGAAGTATTTAATGAAGTAAAGCAAGATATAAGTATAACAGTTAGAGAAATGCTAAGCACCACCCAAGAAAAACAGATGGTGGAATGGAAGAACAGAAAAAAAGGAGAGAATTGTTTGATGGAGAAAACAGAGAAAACATAGAATACGTAAAGCAGGTTCAAAGAGATTACCAGGAAACTAAAAGCTCTATCGAAAGCTGGCATAACAGTTTGAAAGAAACTAAGGATAGATTATCTGAACTGGAGGACAGATTTGTAGTGTGGGAGCATGAAATGAAAAACATTAAAAATAACAAGAAAACAAACAGTAATAATACAAAAGCTAGAAGATGATAAGAGGATCTATAACTTAAGAATTAAGAACGTAAAAGAAGAAGTAGGGACACAAACAAATGAACTACAAAGGCTATTCACAGAAATAATCCAGGAGAATTTCCCTAATTTAGCAAAAGGTAAAGATACTCAGATATATGAGGCATACAGGATCCCAGCCACCTACAACCCAAACAGAGCTACACCCGGGCATATAATAATCAAAATTCCAGAAATCCAATATAAGAACAGAATATTAAAAGCCATCAGAGACAAGAAACAGATCACTTACAAGGGAACACCCATCAGAATTACAGCAGACTTCTCGGCACAAACCATCAAATCATGAAGAGTGTGGGGGAAATAATTTAAGCTTTGAAAGATAATAACCTCCAGCCAAGATTGATATATCCTGCACAACTGTCCCTAGAAATTGATGGAAAAACAAGGTACTTCCAGGATAAAAAGGAACTAGGGGAATATGCAACCACCAATTCAACTCTACAGAGAATACTGCAGGACATTCTAAAAAAAGAAAAATACCAAGATTCCAGAAACATGGCAGAGAGGCCACAATGAACAGAGCAGAAAGCAAAATGAAAAAGACAAACTGATAACTAATGACAGAAAAAGAGCTCAACCAAAATGAGGCAGAGAAGATTGGATGGTGGGAATAGCTATTTTGAAGAAAACAAGACATCATAATAGCTAGTGCTGATTTAGTATCATCTTGTTTTGAAGTCCCATCAAGCTTTTGTTCTCTGTCTCCATCGGTCTTAACATATTGTATCTTATTGGATTTTATTATATGTGATAATATAAATAAAAATTTTATAGACAAGGAGATTATACAGAAACCATTGTTCATTTTCTGTTAGCTGGTTCTAAATACTCTGTAATACTGTCATTCTCTTGAATGGTTTTATATTGTCTTGATGTTTGATGCCATAGTATACGAAGTTATACTCAAAGATTTCAAGGAAAGAGACACTATGGTAACTACTATTATGTCTGGGTATCTGGTGTTGAAACACTATTTTGCTTAAATGGTTATGTTTTGACCTGTGCTGTTTTGTTGTTATGTCCTCTTTTATCTCCATCTCCTTTTTTATTATTTACTTTTTTATTTTTATCTTTTTAATTAAGAGAAAAATAAAAAAGCAGGATATATTATAGTAACCCACTTTGATTTCCTATTAACTTGATTTGAAACCCTGTATTGCTCTCACCATCTTGTTTTGACTGATTTTCCCCTATTCTGTTTTGCTTGATACTACCAAGTTCAAGAGTATAGGCAACAACTATGAAGACAATAAGATTCATTATGACGCCCCTTCTGGTTTGACTATTATCTTCTTCTCAAGTCCTGTAATGTCTCCAATGTTTTGGTTTTATTGGTTTTGTTCTTTACTGTTTTGTTCAATTTTATTATAACTGATGATATAGGCAATTCTTTTTAAGATAGGAAGAGGCATTATGGTAACCATTGTTGATCACTTTGTATTTTGTTTTTACAGTATGTATTATGTCCATCCTTTTGATTTGAATGACTCTGTTTTGTTATGTCACATTTGGTTTTATTCTCTTCAAAAAAAGTAATAAGAACTGTGGGAGTAATAAAACCCAAAATGTATAATTGTCATTGTACAAAAGAGAGGAAAAGAAAGTGCTCTAAAGGATATAACTGCCTGTATATTTAAGTGTATAAGATAGATAACCATATTACTGAGTTTTTTTGGATCATTGAACAGAACTGTTTGCAGTCTCACTATTTGAAAGTCCACTTTATATACTTTAATTTTGTAACTTGAGCAACTATTTCTAAGATGACAATATGCAATCAATTAACTAGTGATTTCTTATTGTTTATTTTTTCTGAAATTCTGTATAACTTGCACCCTTTTTCTGTTTTTTTTTCTTTTTCTCCTTAAATAAAATTTTAAAAAAAGAAAATTAATGAGCTGAACATCTAAATCAAAATGTTAAAATGACAAATGATCCAGACTTCAATTCCTACCAATAAAAAGAAAAAAAGATCACAAGCGAATGAACATAAAGATTCCCTTCAGGTATCAACAAAATCTAATAAAGCAACTGGCCATCTGGAGCACCTCTGTAATCTCAATACTCATGAGGCTGAGGCAGGAGGACCCCATGAGTTCGAGGCCAGCCTGGACTACATAGAAAGACACTGTTTCAACAAAATACTAATAAAACATCACTATCAAGGAAAATTAAAGACCAGTGCTTGTCATAAATATTGGTACAAAAAATCTTCAATAGAATACTAGAAAACCAAATCCAGTAGCATAATAAGAGGGTTATACAACCTGTTTAAGTGGGATTATTCCAAGCATGCAAGGGTGATTCCTTATGGAAAATCAATCAGTGTAAAACACCATATTATTAGAATAAAGGGGGAAAACATCACATGGTCACTCAAATGATACAGAAAAGGGCTTTGAACAAAATTCAACATTTTAAGATAAAAACACTGAGAGAAATAGAAATAGAAGTGAACTCAAGAAAAGGAAAGGCATTTTAAAAACTCCTCGTCAGTGGTGAAGAACTGCTACCCTAAGTAAAGATGAAAGCTGTTTCATTCCCCCAGCCCCTAAAAAAGTGCAGGTCACCCGAAGTGGCCGGCGCCTTAGCACATGTGAGCCTCACTGAGGATCATAATACAGTGGATCAAAATGCTGGAATATGTCTAAACCCACAAGTTCCTATGATTCTAAAATATAAACAGAGAATAAATTGGACCACTGCTGAAGGATGAGAGGGAGAAAAATCCTTATCTTAGAAACTGGAAAAGGGGGCTGGGGATTTAGCTCAGCGGCAATAAGCGCCTGCCTTGCAAGCAGGCGGTCGTGAGTTCGATCCCCGGTACCGATAAAAAGGAAAAAGACAAAAAAAAAAAAAAAAAGAGCCTAGAATATGTGAAAAAGGAACATGGAAAAGGAAGGAAAGTGCTGCAAAACTGCACGTTCTATACACACTCTATCTTGGGTATTTAAACAGTAGAGCAGGGGAGGCAACGCTATGGAATCTCCCAGGCAGTAAAGAGAAGGAGAGGCTAAAATTCAGCTGCCACCTGTTTGCAGTCCCTCACAGGATCCATGGTGCAGGCTTGGAGCATCAAGGCCAGCTGACCTCAGCAAAGAGAGACAGCCAGTCCTGACCCTGCCCCAGAAGACGGCCAGCTCCACCTGTGCGTGACCACAGACGGACCTGAGGGTGCTCAGGCCTCTGGAGCCAACTCCTCCATGACAGAAAACCCCGAGGACAAGGCGGGCAGGGAGCTGCGGGTGTGTTGCAGCCAGATTGAAGGTGGCCAGGCTTGCAGCTGAGTCTGTGTGCAGTGTGAGCAGGGGTCGGTGTTACAGATGGGATGGATTGGAAGGCAGCTCCAGGGCACTGGCTGGAGGGGGCTGAAGGCAGAGAAAGGTGCCCGGAGCCTGTGGAGCAGGCAGAAGCCGTGACTGGGAGCTGCTTAGGTCCCAGTGCAGTGAGTGGAGCAGAGAGTGGGCAGGGCCTCCTGCCTTCCAGAGAGCTCCAGGGCTCAAGCTGACTCTGGCAGCGGGGTCTGGACTGTGTGTGAGGAGGACCCAGAAGGACCTCAGCTGTCTGAGAGGAGTGCTACAGCATGGTAAGGGAACAGTAATGCTTGGTGGAGGACACGGACAACAATAGTCCCACATTCCTATGGGTCACTCAGTGAGACACACACAGCCAGTGTTTCTGAATAGAGCATTTATTGACAATCCCTACAGCAGGGTTAGCAAGGATATTTTCCCACAGTCTGCCGAACCCAGGACACCAGTGCAGTGACTCTACCATACAGAGCAGGCGTGGAGGTGGAGCAGTCCCCACTGCCCCCAGACACGGTGCCTACTAAGTTCCAGACTCCCCCCTTCTGGCACACCAGGGGGCCACCAGAGTCACCCTGCAGGAAGGAGAGGACCTGACCGTCAGCCTGAAAGGGGTGCCAGGGACCACAGTTCCAGGGTCAGGAAAGGAAGAAATGGGGCAGAGGGATGGCAAGGGTGGGCACAGTGGCTCTGCCCTAGTGACTTCCATCTGAGTGCCATGAAGCCCAGCTCTGCCATCTCCTTCCTCCCAAGGGCCCTGTGCAGGTGGCTTCCCCTGTCTAAGCTTAGCCGTCCCCTCTCCCATGGGCTGGCACCTGTACTCCCAGGGCTGTGGTGAGGACCGAGCTCTGTGGACACACAGTAAGGGCCTGGCTCAGGGCACCTGCTAGCACCAGTGGGGCCTTGTAAGGAGAGGAGGGCAGGGGAGAGCCCAGGCCTGTGTGCAGGGTCCCTGTGCCCCTCCTAGTTCTCCCAGACCATACCATGCAGGAGGAGACACCACTGCCTCCAGCGCAGAGAATCTTATTGCAGAAATCACCCCAGTAATTCCTACAGGCATTGGAGGACACGAGTGGCAGGACACCTTGCTGCAGCTTGCGGGGAGTCTTAGGTGCTGCAGTGACAGGAGGGGTGGGTGAGAGCCCTGTCCCCACCCAGACCCCATCTGCTCCCTGGAAAGCCTGGAGAGACGCCCTGCTGGGTGCCCACACTGGGGAGCAGGCAGCTGCTGAGGGCTCCCTCTAGGGCTCTCTTCACGAGCTGTCTGTGAAGTGGATCTCAGCCCTCCGTTTATTTACGTGTGGTAGATTTTTTAGCTTTCTTTCATTAATAGTTCTAAAATAGTAATTCTATGTTTTATAGATTTTTTTCCTTCAGTTTGTGAGATAGGGTCTTGCCATGTGTTTCAGACTGGCCTTCAGCTCACTATGCAGCCCAGGCTGGCCTTGAACTCCCAACAATACTCCTGTCTCTGCCTCCATAGTGCTGGAATACAGGCATGTGCCACCATGCCAGGTTACTTTATAGATTTTTAATTTTAAAAGACCATTTGGGTCCCATGTGGGGATTCCTGCTGCCCAGGCAGATCCCAAACCCAGTGACAGGCCCTGCTGAGGAAAGGTGGAGTCACACTCACGGAAGACATTTGTCTGGCCCCAGCCGGTGGTGACGCACTGGGTCTGGGCAGGGAAGTCATCAGTAGCATCAGGGAGGCACACAGGGGACACCCTCGTGGTGAACCGGGCTGGTGTGGCCAGCTTTATCACTGCAATGTCGTTGCATAATGTGTTAGAATCATAGCTGGGGTGCGTGAAAACCTGAGGGTGACAACCACAAGCCCAGTGAGGTCTGGAGCAGCCAACAGATTCATCGCTGAGGGACAAGCTCCTGTCCTCTGGCCTGGTACCTTTTCAATCTGTAAGAACTGCGTGAACTTATCAGTTCTCTTCAGATCGTACACCCCAGCCACCACCACATCAGAGGTGCTAGGAACAGAGACAGGAGGGGTTAGGAACACAACAGGCCACTGACGTCCCCACCCTACCCTGGAGCTTGGAGCAGAGCCCAGGCTGCCACTCACCTGACCTCGCAGTGGGCGGCAGTGACCACCCAGTTCTCACAGATGAGGGAGCCCCCGCAGTAGTGGAAGCCAGTATTGGTCTGAGAAGGAAGGAAGGGAGGGTCCCAGCTACTGCCTGGGAAGTATCCCAGCCTGTCCTACAACCCCAGGTCTATCCCTCTCACATCCCCACCTCACCTGCAGGGACACCTGCCAGGGCCAGGAGCCAGGGACCGCGTTCTCACCATTGATGATCCTGGCCAGGTCACTCAGCACAGGTGGGATGTCAGGGACTCCACAGCCTGAGAATAGGGCAAGGGAGGGCTGCGGCCTGGAGCCAGTCTGGGCCTGACCCCCACACTGATACCTCAGCCCACCCAGCAAGGCTCAGGATCCCCATTCTACAGCTGACTCCGCCTCTGCAAGGTCCCCTGGTTTCCAACTTCTGGGCTCAAAGCTCCCTCACCTGCAGCCTGCTGACCCCAGTTCTCTTGCACAGGTGCAGAAGTGTCCCCCCCCCCTGGCCTGGCCTGCCTTAGGGGAAAACAGCTGGGCCCTCAAATGACATGGGCTCGACCTCTAGGTGCCCCTTCTGGCTGTGTAGCCTTGGACCTGGGCTCCACAGTGACCTCAGCTGCTCAGTGGGAGCAGAACAGCGCTGAGTCTGCAGGTCAACATGCATCTGTTGGACAGGCAGGAGTGGAGGGTGACCCCATTCTGTGTCCTCCAGTCAAGACACTAGGCTGATGGAGTGTGATGAGGGCACCAACTCACAGCACAGGGCCTGGCAGAATTCTCCATTTCTGCAACACCTCACCATTTCAGCATCGACCGACCATGTAAAGGTTGGGCTTCTAAATTATGAATAAAATAAGGCCTTGACTCCACATCATAAAAGGCCACAGTGAGGAGGTGTGGAATGAATTAGGAGAAGAAGCTGTGCTGGGCAGGCTCTGGACTGGGCTCTTCTCAGCCCCTACTGGCCACATGCTAGGCCTTTCCCATGGAGCGTGCAGTCCTGGGCACCAGGTGCCGTCACTGGAGTCTCTGCCTTCCCTCAGGAGCAAGGGCACAACAGGGGCCTTCAAGGAAGAGTGGGACTACCACATATCAAAAGCCACAGTCATCTATGTTTATAATAGCGAAGGAGAGAGAAGAGGTATATTGGACCTGGAGACAGTACATTACAGTGTCTCAAGGGTGTGAGCTGGATCTCCACGGTAGTGTGGATAAATCTCAATAAAGCATCATGAGTAGACAAAAAGCACATTATAAAACTAAGGCAGACTAGAATGCTATTTATGCAAATTTATAAAATCTTTGTGGATAGGTGTGTGTGTGTGTGTGTGTGTGTGTGTGTGTGTGTGTGTGTGTGTCTGTGTGTGTCTGTGTGATTCTATGGTTTGGACCCACAGAGCCTTATTACCATCCCTTATTCATTTTTTAAATTTTGAGAAACCAGGGTTTCACTTAGATACAACACTTCTCAGGATGGACACTAATTTATAACCCTCCTGTGCCAGCTTCTTGGCGCTCTCAGATTTCATGTGCATGCCACCATGCCCAGCATTTCTTTCTTCATTTAATAAACAAAAATCTTAGCAAGTGCTCAGCATGATAAATAAAACCCCTGTCTGATGCCTTATGAGGGCTACAGTCACCTCCTACCCTGCCACAGGTGCATCTGGAGTCACCAAGCCCAGCTGGGCCAGCACGTCTCTCCCTCTCCTGCTGCAGGGAGCCAGGGCTGAGAGCCCTGAAGGACCTCTCTCCTGTCTGCAGCCTCAGGTCCCCTCAGGTGTGGGTGAAGCCAGAGGGCTCACCTCTCATTAGGCACAGAGCGCCAGGCTGTCTTAAGGGGCCTGACTGTAGGGGTCCTGAAGGCTTTGGGCCTCCTCCCCACATTTTCCAGCCCTGGTGGGCCCGGGTCCCAGCACTCACCATGGGCGACCCCCACAAGGGCAAAACAGGACAGAAACCAAAAGAAGGCCATGGCGCTGCTGTTAGGGAAGGTGATGTCTGCCTGTTTGGGAGGTCCTTTTATGTCCTCTAGAATCTTCTAAACCATGCCTAGTCATAGAGGCCTGACGGCCACCTCCCTCTTTTCCAAGGACTTTCGGTGATAAGTGAGGGCCCAGCCCTCTCCCAACCTGGCTGGATCTCAGCCTGGAACTTCCCAGCTCCTGGGAAAAGGACAGGTGCCCTGTACCCACGCTACCTGCAGCCTGTGGAACACCAAGGGCAAGACTATGCCAAGCGGTCCTAGACCCCGCAGAGCCAGCTCATGCAGCCTGTGCTTGCTAGTGACCCACAGGTTCCACTGTGTCCAGCATCTCAGGGGTTCTCCTAGTCCTAGTGAAAGGGAGCACACCCAAAGCTTTGAAGGAGATTGACTAGTGGTGGCCGAGTCCTCAGAGTTTTCCAGTGCTGGCCTGGGACCACATAATGTCAGCTGCAGGGGCAAAGAGAAGATGAGTGAACGCTCATGTAAAAGCAAAGCATTGTTCAAACACTCAGAATTACCCTGGGGGTCACATTGTCCCAGGTCACCAAGCAGTTTGAGTGTGGGAGGGTGAGAGTGATACAACAAATTTGCGTTTACTGGAGGCAGTGCAACCAAACAGCACTCAGAGAAGTGCAACAATCCAAGCTATATTAAGATGGTGGGCCCAGGGGGGCTGTGTTCTACAAAGTCTAAGCCCTGAGCTAGTAGGATGCTGAGTCAGCTTTTCCATAGCTATGATGAAATACCTGAGGCAGTCAATGTACAATTTTGGTCAAAGGTTTAATTCATTTCATTCCATAGTGACTTGGAGTTGTGCTGAGGTGAAGCATCATTGTGGGGCACTGATAGCCCAGTACAGCTGCTCACTTCGGGGGCTCTGGGATGCACCACTCAAACCAGTGCCCCCGCTCTGCAGTTTCCCCACCTTATAGTTTCCCCCTGCTGCACTGAGATGCAAAGACATGCCTCCAGTGACCTCAGTTCTTCTCAAGGTCCCGCCTCCTACAGTCTCTGACACCTCTTAATGTAGAGCCACGGGCTGGTGAACAATCCTTTAGCACACAGGCTCTTGGAATACCTGTTAGGTTCAAAGTATAGCACGGATGTCTTGATTCTGTCTTAACCCTACAGGAAGGGATCACCAGGAGCTGCAGATATCCATCAGTCTCATTTTACTTCCTCAAGTGACCCTTTCTGATCAGTGGTCTGAAACACAAAGAAGCTGTCTTATCATGTAGCTCCTTCTAAAGGCAGCTCACCAAGTCCACATTATAAGGTTTTATGCTGCTCTTTCTTCTCTTTCTGGAGTTGGATTCCAGGTTCTTCTCATCTCCAATAAAGAACTGAATGAAATCAGCAAGAAGTGGTGACAAAGCACTGTGGCTTGTGCTAGATGTGCCTGCAAAGCCTCATGCAGTCATAGGTGGGCTTTTCAGAGGAGGCTGGATCTCTGGAGTGTGATGCTCAGAGTAAGGGTGTGATGCTGTCATACTTTTTTCATTGCTGAAAGAAAATACCTGATATCTAAAATTAAGGGAAGAAAGGTTCATTGAGCTTGATTTGTAGAGATTTCAGTCCCTAATCAGCTGCCTCAAGGCAGGTGGCATGGCAGAGGGGCTAGAGGTCATGGTGGTGGAAGACAGGAAGAGCAGCAACAGCAAAAATGGAGGAGCCAGCCTGTTTTCTTCCCTTATACTGCATGCAGGCTCCCTATGCTAGAGTGTGTAGCACTCACACTCCCCTTCCTAGCAGTAGACAATGAACCTATCACAAATCCTAGATTCAGCCACCTTTAAAAAACCCATGACTGCATGAAGTTTTGGGGGATGTCCAGATATAAACCATACACAACACACACCCTGATTGTGAATGGCACCAACCAATAGCCACCCTAGATAGAATGTGGATGGAATAATTTGGATTATTTTTTTTCTTTTTTTTTAAATTTTATTTTGAAAGTAGTAAAACATAACAGATGGGGCTGGGGATTTAGCTCAGCGGCATAAGTACCTGCCTTGCAAGCAGGCGGTCGTGAGTTCGATCCCTGGTACCGATAAAAAGGAAAAAGACAAAAAAAAATAAAATAAAATATAACAGAACATGACAGAATAAAGCCAGCTAAGATTGTATAGTGAAATTGGTACAGAACTTCACAGCAGGTTACCAGGATAACAGTAATAGGTATCACAGTATATGTCGTTATCTGTGCAATAGTTGTTCTTTCAATCACGTAAATCAAAATAAAATGAAATACAGAACATTATAGAACTTATCAAAACAGAATATTGAATAGAGCAGTACCACTAATCAGAATAGAGCAAAACAGTAATAAAAATATTTGCCTTCAAAGAGATGGTAGAAGGAAATTCCCCTTATTTGCTAGGTCAGCCTCCCAGGAGATGCTCAGATTTCTGGTTCCCATTTGTTGATGGCAGTGGGGGGACAGGGGAGGGGGTAGGGGAAGTGGGATGTTTGACTCTAGGCCGTGCACCAGTAGGTTCACTATTGCTTAGCAGGGAGGCAGATTGATTGCTTGGTTTCCCAGCATCCTAAGTTCCAAAATGGCATGGATCTCAGGAGACACTGGTGGTTCTCCTCCGGAAGCAATAATTTGGGTTATTGTGGATTGAACAACATGGGTAGAATAAAAAGGGCAGGAAGAAGGTTGCGTCAGCTGTATTGCTGTGTGCTGTGTGAAGCTTTGCAGTCTCCTGCCTGCTCGCCATGGACTGTTTCTCCAGGTGATACCCTCTGCTATGCACCCCTGCTTTGCAGCAACCTCTGGAAACTAAATAAACCTTTCTTATTTACCACTAGGTACTGGGTATTTTGAAACCAGACAAAAGGTTTATTTAAAAAAGTAAACAGGAAGAGTGAGGGCTCTGCAGAGTGAGCTTTGGCTCAGTACAAGAGGAAAAGCCCGGATGAAGAGCTCACCCTGAAGGCCACAGGGTGGGCTGTCGTGAGGAAAGCCATGACAGCAAGCTCTTCTTGGCATCTGTGTCCCTTTATTTCACCCACATCTCCAGATAACTCATGAGAACTTCTTTTTATTTTTATTCTTTTTTTTTTTTTTTTATCGGTACCAGGGATTGAACTCACGACCACGCGCTTTCAAGGCAGGCACCCATGCCACTGAGCTAAATCCCCAGCCCTAAAACTTCTACAATCAGCTCCCCCGTCCTTTGTGCCAAATGCAAGCAGACACCCCAGGTCCTTTCTCATGTCTTGGTTCCACGCATCCACTCAGCCACACATCCTTAAGCCAGAGCAGTTCTTTGCCTTTCAGAAGGAGCAGGAAACTTCAGGAAGGTGACTCCCAGAATGGGGGACCCTCAGAATGGAGCATAGGAATCCAATCCTCCTGCTTTGCTGTTAAAGGAAACTGTGCACAGACAGTGCGGAAAGCCCTTTGGCAGTTTCCAAGAGCACTGCCAAGTTAGGATGGCACTGGAGTCAAGTAGCAAAGAAGGGCTTCTGTTTGGCTCATGGCTTCAGAGGTTCCAGTCCATGGACTGCTGGCTCAGGTGTGCTTATACCTTGCAGGAGGCAGAAACACCGCAGTGGAAAGCCTGGCAGGGGAGAGCAGCTCAGCTCAGGGCAGCCAGGAAGCAGAGCAGAAAGGGAAGAGCAGGAGAGGAAGGGGCTGAGGCCAGACCCAGTCTCCAGGGTCACTACATCTGGTCCCCAACCACTGCTTCAGGGGGCCCCATCTCCTCTCCAGCACCAGCTGGGCCCTGCAAGTCACTCTGTTCCAGCCCAAGTGACAGTCACAGAACTCTGTTCCAGCCCAAGTGACAGTCACAGAACGTGCTGGAGTCTTCCCGGAGCCTCCCTGGGCTCTCTCAAGGTCACAGGGCAAAGTCTGCTCCCCAAACTGCTCCCCGCTTGACCTCACTGCCCAGGGGCTTCTCAACACCAAACAGCAAACAAATTCCATGTCCCCAGACCACGAGGGACAAGGCTGGGCTCAGAAGGGGGATGTGGAGAACAGCCCTGGGTCAAGGCCCTCGTTCAGCCTCACCTCTGCCCTTGGTCCTGGGCTCAGCTGCGGGCCACAGCTGCTGCCATCCCAGGCTGCGGTGCCAGCCTTGCTCTGGCACCTTCTGTCTGCTTGGGCACCTGGCCTTGGAGAGATCATGGTCCCAAGATCTCAGATAACACCTGGTGTAGAGGGTGTGTATAGTGGGGAACCCAGGCAGGTGCCTGCCCTCCCGTGGCTGCAGCTCCATGGGCTGCCTCTGGCTCCCCTGGGGCTGGGCCCTGATGAGCACTGTCGCTGGGAGTTGCCTGACAGGCAGAGGCGGGAAGGCTGCTCCTATTGTTCCCATTTCCACCAAGCACAGTCACCATCTCCCTCAGAGCCCACATCCTCACAGTGGTGACCCGGGGAAGATGGACCGGGCCATGTTCTCCTGCTCAAGCAATGAAGCCACCACAGAATGCAGCGTTGTCACCTCATTCCTGAGCCTCACACGCAGCAGGGCTGAGGCCCCAGGGGAGGAGGCAGACACTCCTAGCTGTGCCAGGCCTTGCGCCTTGTGCAGGGGACAGGGAGGATCTGCCTAGGGGACAGGAAATGCTCTGAACAGTCAGCAATGATGTTACAGGCAGCGGAGTCTTGGTGTCTGCTTACACTCCTGCTCAATGAGCACGTACTACGTGCTAGGAACAGAACAAGTGCCTCCCCTGCTCATCTGTCCCATGTCTTTATACCAACCTGAGAAGGTGACCACTGTGGGATCCCCATTTCCTGGATGAGGAAACCGAGTCTCTGAACTCAGTGGCTAAGCCAGCCCAGCAGCTGGACCTGGGAGCTGGGATCCCACCACGGAGCATGGCTCCTTCCTGAAATCTCCCTCTGCCCCTTTGACTTTTCCATGCTGAGGGGACAGGACAGCAAGTCCTGTGCATCCCTGTGCCCAGCACATGTCACACTGCAATGGCTGTGGGGACTCCGGAGTTAGGAGTTGGAACCAACTTCTCAGAGGAGGAGACAAGGGAGCTGGGCCAAGTGTGTGTGGGAGGA